CATGTTGTATCACAAGATAATTAGTGTGCGGACCATTTTCATTTATATAGTGCTCTGTGAACACAAATTAGTTAAATGACGAAAAATTAGGTGTCTATTTACTTGTGACCACTCAGTGTATATTTATAAAAGTTTTAGTATCAATATCAGCCATCTCTACTATATATTTTCTTCAAGTGGGTACCTCATCATCATAAGTTATTTGTATGTATTCAGTAAATTGAGAAAGGTGGTTTCTGTAGATTAACTTGTTGGTATATATAAAACATGACATATCAAGTAGTTATGTCATTTTTGAAAAAGTTTATATTCAAAGTAAAGAAAGATATCTAATAAGTTTGAAAATATAATCAATTATTAGTTTCAAATTTTCTTACTTAGTAACTAAAAGATGAGTAAGTCATGCTTCTGTTATCCTGGATTATTTATTTGGCTTTATTTTTGTGACATTTGTTTTGATAAAGTGATCTGACATGTGTTTATGTATAAAAGCATTTCTGGTGAAGTACTTGGAATTCAAGACTTGTAATGAGGATTTCAGTCCGAAGTGGCTCTTCTCAACATTGCTGGAAGTGGGAGTGGATCTTCCCCAGCTACATGAAACTTACCACAAGCTGTATCGTTCAAAAGATCTGTGCTGGAAGACAGCTAGGAAGCCTTTACATTTGTTAAACGTTATTGTTGCTTTAATAGCAGCTTTTGTTGAAAGCCCATCTCTTGTTCACCTAAATGAAAGGTATGTTTTGGTTAATGGTAGTCTTATAAAAATTACAGTAGTAATTACAAGATAATTTACTGTACTTTTTCCCATTTTTAGATTTGGTTATAAGTAGTTTCATTTTGAAATATTTTCAAATAAAATGTTTATCCAGTAGCATTTTTCTTGTATCATGAAGTCTAATAGAGCTTCTCCTTGTTTTTAATGAGGATATGTCATTTCACCTTTTTATAGAAACAAAATATTTTACCGATTTATTCATCCTGTTAATACATTTCAGTGTGAGGCTCGTAACACACACATGCTTTGTTCAATAACCTTATATATGGCTTGTTGTCTTTTTATCTGCTTGTGTGAATTTCTTTTCTTCTCAGTTCTTTAGGGAAGTTGTCTCTGTTGCTTGGTCTTGTGTTTCCTCTTCTGTTTGGACTTGTCTCCTCAGGTGCTTAGACTCCTTGATCTTGGGTTTGTCTTGTTTACTGCTTGGTCTTGTGTTTCCTCTTCTGTTTGGACTTGTCTCCTCAGGTGCTTAGACTCCTTGATCTTGGGTTTGTCTTGTTTACTGCTTGGTCTTGTGTTTCCTCTTCTGTTTGGACTTGTCTCCTCAGGTGCTTAGACTCCTTGATCTTGGGTTTGTCTTGTTTACTGCTTGGGCTTGTCTCATCAACTCTTTGGACTTGTTTCCTCTATTCCTTAGGTTTTTTGTTTTCTCAAGCTCCATGTGCTTACTTTCTCCTGTCCTCAATGAGCTTATTGTCTTCTTTGCTGCTTGGATTAATAATTTAAAAAAATTCAGTCATTTGTTACAACTTTTTTTTTGGTATATTTGTTAATCTTACATTTCTGAATCATTTCTTTTTTCTGGTATTTTTTTGTACACTAACTGGATTGCTTGCGATTACCTTTTCTCTTCTACTATGATGACTGAGAGAAGTTTCTGAGTTTAAGCTTTGGTCTTTCTTTGTTCTTAAATGTATGAGAAGGAAAAAGTACCAGGTTTTATTTGTAAAAGACTCATTAGGTAAAAATTGTACACTAATGAAACACCTCATACTTTATATCAACATTAAAAATTTTATAAACTACAAACATTATCACTGATGTGTAACTGTGTACAGTAGGGATGTGTGATGTATTTTATAACTACATTTATCATTAACGATGTGTACAGTGGGTATGTGTGATGTTTATAAACTACAGATATCATTAATGATGTGTAACAGTATACAGTGAGGATGTGTGATATATTCTATAAACTAGAGATATCATTAATGATGTGTAACAGTGTACAGTGGAGATGTATGATGTTTACAAACTACAGATATCAGTGATGTGTAGAGTGAGGATGTGTGATGTAGTTTATAAACTAGATATATCATTAATGATGTGTAGCAGTGTACAGTGAGGATGTGTGATATATTTTATAAACTAGAGATATCATTAATGATGTGTAACAGTGTACAGTGAGGATGTGTGATGTTTATAAACTACAGATATCATTAATGATATGTAACAGTATACAGTGAGGATGTGTGATATATTTTATAAACTATAGATATCATTAATGATGTGTAATAGTGTACAGTGGAGATGTGTGATGTTTACAAACTACAGATATCAGTGATGTGTAGAGTGAGGATGTGTGATGTAGTTTATAAACTAGATATATCATTAATGATGTGTACAGTGAGATGGGTGATGTATTTTATAGCTACAGATATTAACGATGTTTAACAGTGTACAGAGAGGATGTATGATGTACTTTATAGCTACAGATATTAATGATGTGTAACAGTAGGAATGGGTGATGTATTTTATAGGTACAGATATTAACGATGTTTAACAGTGTACAGAGAGGATGGATGATGTATAACCTATACAAACGGAAGCACAATATGTTAATATAAAGTACGTCAAGAAAGAGCCGAAAATTAACAATTCTTTCAAATATGTACATAAAATAATAATAAGTATCAATTGTTTATATTTGTGAACTTGAGATCATCAAACTGGTTGATCAGTTGTTCATGATCTTAAGATACTGATATGGTAGTTTTGATGTTATTAATTGAAATGGCTGATTGTTGTATTTGGATCGGAGCACCAGCATTATTGAAAGGTATTTGCCTGTTCTGTTGGGAAATCACACATGGGCATTTTTAACATTCAGTTTTATTTGCATCCTGGACAACCAAATCATTATCACTTAAAGATACATGAAAGGCTTGTCAGAAATATTTAGGAAATATTACTGTTAGATGATATGTTTAAAATTAAAATTCTCAATGTTCATTGTTTCTCAAAAATATGTACATCTTCATTCACCATGCACCATTTATTGATAATTTCCACACCCCTTATGAAGTTTGTATGTTTCCAGTACACATGAATAGTTAGTATGTGATGGTTTCAGTTTCTTTTTATCCAGCTATCAAAATTATTTAATTCTAAAACATTTTCCAAACTTACGTTCATAAGGAAACCCTTTTATTGTGTACAGAACACAAGTAAGGTCTATAATTCAGCAGATTCTACTTGTTTTCTTGTGCACGGAACACAAGCAAGGTCTATAATTCAGCAGATTCTACTTGTTTTCTTGTGTACGGAACACAAGTAAGGTCTATAATTCAGCAGATTCTACTTGTTTTATTGCGTAGGGAACACAAGCAAGGTCTATAATTCAGCAGAGTCGTTTCTTGTTGAGTTTTATATTAATTTTCTTTTCATCGCAGACGAGCCTTCACTACAAAGTGTCTTGATGCAGTGGCTGGCTACCTAGTGGACCTTCAGTCATGCAACAGTGCTGACCCCGCTGTCCAGGCTCTGAGTTCAGAGTTTAAAGCCGTTCAATTAAAGCTGGAGCGACTTCCCTGAAGACTAAGAAACCAGGCAATTGTCAGCTGATCATTCCTGCTCATAGGCTTAATCCAGCTGATCTTCGTTCTTCATAAACTGAGTCCAAGGTTAAGATCATCAGTTTAGAAACTAACTGTGGAACTAGGAAAAAAATATAGCACATATTTCACACATCTGTGTTTGTGTGTATTCTTTTTGAATAAAAATATGAGAGACTTGTACATATCTTTCTGGTAAACATCCAGTTTGTCACTCCCTCCTCCCATCTTTTCCTTTTATACATAACTATTTAAATAGACTTTAGCAATCTTACCTTCAATATTTGTGAAATGCAACCATGATTCCGATGACATGACATTTTTCTCCCTGCAAATTAACTTTGAGAAAGTTTTCTTTTGTAAGTGCATCTTATTGTTGCTGAAAATGATGTAATGTTTATCCAAGTAGCTGTAACCAGAGATCCAAAATAAAAAGTCTTTAGATTTGTTTCCTGTGCACTGAGTTATTGGAAGTGGAAACGATTAACCATCGAGTAGCAGTCATCAACACTGTCCACTAGACTTTTTTTTATCTCTCATTTTTACACTTTTGTTTGTCTCAGAATTTTTCACAATGATAAGGATTTAGCAAATGATTAGTTTGTAAAATATTACTTTCAAAAAGTATAACTATTGAGATGTTGCAAGTAGATTAGTGGTATG